ACCACTACCACCACCACAACGCCATCGCCACCACTGTCACCAACCACCACTATCATTGTTGCAGCTACAATTGACTCCGCCGCCGCCGCCACCATCGCCGCTATTACGCCACCCCCGCCACCACCACCACCACCACCATGATGCCATCACAACCACCACCACCATGCCACCGCTACCATTGTTGCCGCCACCAATGTCACCAACCACCATTGTCGCAGCCACTGTTGTCACCTCCACCACCACTACCACCACCACAACGTCACCGCTACCATCACCACTACTGTCACCAACCACTACTATCATTGTTACAGCCACCACCGACACCGCCGCCGCCGTCGCCACCAACCCACCACCATCATCGTCACAGCCACTACTGTCAACACCACCACCATCGTCACCATTACACCACCCCGCCACTACCACCATCGCCACTATCACCACCACCTCCACCGTCGCAGCCACTACCATTGCCACCACCACCACCATCTCCATGATGCCATCACAACCACCACCACCATGCCACCGCTACCATTGTCGCCGCCACCAATGCCACCAACCACCATCCCCACCACCAGTGTCGCAGCCACTGCCGTCACCTCCACCACCATCATCCCCACCACTACCACCGTCATCGCCGCAATCACTGTCATCACAACCAGCACCACTATCATCACCACGTCACTGCCACCACCACCGTTGTATCGTCGCTGCCTCCACCACCATGCCACCCTCCGCCGCCACCACCACCACAACCACACTATATGGAAAGGAAAGTGATGATCCAAATTTTTTTTATACTTAATAGGAATTATTTTTTATTATATTATTTGTTGTGTTATCAAACACAATTCTCATTCTCAAAATAAAAATTGAATATGTTATCAAGCACAATTTTTTTCTCAGAAACTGTTCAAAGGAACAGAAATAGACCAGAATTGTTTCTTTTCAGAAACAGTGCTAGGGAATAGAATGGTTGTCATGCACACCCTAAATTATAGAGTAAATATCATTTTTGATTCTCAGCAAATTTCACGATGCCCGCTTTAGTCCCTAGCAAATAAAAAGGCTATTCGTGGTACCTAAGAAATTCAAAATGGACTCATTTAGTTAAAATCGTGGTCCCTCACATATTCAAAAAACACCGACATTAGTCCTTAAAATGACTAAAATGGGTCCAATTTGAATTTCTTAGGGACCACGAATAGCTTTTTTATTTGCTAGGGACTAAAACGGACATCGTAAAATTTGCTGAGGACCGAAAAGGGTATTTAGTCTAAATTATAAAAATTTAAAGGTAATAAGTAACTAAAATCAATATATGTTTTATAATATATACTTAATTATAGACATTGAGAGTAATCACCAAGAGATTTGAATCTGTGTCAAAAGTATATTTTAATTAGTCCTATAAGCAGAGTACAACACAAAGGTATGAACAAACTCACACAATGTTAGAAATAGATGTTTGTATGCAGAAAATTCGAGCCCAATATGTGTTGTCTTCTTAAGATAATTTGTCCCCTCTATTGATGCCAAATGAATGTGGACAATCGTCTCCAGAGATAGAAGGAATTACGTCTCCAGAATGTGATGACACTATCAATCTGAAGCTCCCTCGAACACAACCAAATGCTTGAGAAATGACACTCACTAAGTCTATGGCAGTATGCACTGATACTATGAATGTATAGAGTAACTTAGAAAAATTCTAAAATTAGTTTTTTCTGACGGGCTACATGTAGGGTTGGCAAAAATGGGTTGGCTCGTAACCCATAAAAAATGAGCCGGGTTGAGTTGGAAAAAATGAGTTGCCAACCCGGCTCGTTTTAACCCGTGAAGAAACGAGTCAATCCGAGGGTCAAACGAGCCAGCTCGCGGGTTGCGTTTTTTTTTTTATATATAAAAATACAAAATATGATATACAAAAATGGACAAAACTCACTCATGTTGTCATCATTTCTTCCTTCTCTAAACCTAAGTCCCTAATCTTTTCTCATTCCTGCCATTTTTATATTGTTAGGCTGTGTTGTCTCTGTTTGGTTCAAATATCTTACCCACCTGGTAGCAAGTGGTTCTGATTGTTTCTGGATGTTGATGGAAATTTGTTGTGAAGAAAATTCGAAACTAAAATATTTTGCTTTTATTTTTCATTTTGTAACCCTTTGTTTAAGCTAATGGAAGCCACATAGCTGGTGCATTAATACTACAGGATCATTTAAATAAGCTAAAAACGAGCCGACCCGCGAGCAATTTTCGAGCCGACTCGCGAACCAATTTTCGAGCAAACTCGCGAGCTATTTTTTCAAGCTAACCCACAAGTCATATTTTTTAGCCAACCCGCGAGCCAACCCTTACCCGACTCAGGTAAGGTTGGGTTTTCTGGCTCATTTTTTTTGTGCCAACCCTACTCGGCTTGTTTTTTTTCGGATGGGTGGTGTAATATCCCAGAAAAATAATAGTAATTTATAATACAATAAATTAATAATAGTAATAAATTATAAATTAGTAATAATAATAATGGGTGATAAATTGTTATTATTTAATTGATCATTATGCTTTAATGTTTGATTATTTGATTGGTAATGTTTGATTGGATTAGGATGAGTCAACAAACATAAATTGTTTAGATATGATGACTTAACAAACATAAATTGTTTAGATATGATGACTCAACAAACATAAATTGTTTAGATATGATGAGTCAGTAATGTATAAGTCCTAAACTTCAACTATAAATAGAGACCTAGCCTAACCAAACCAATTCACTCTTCTCTACTACTCTTTTTCTCTTCTCACTCCAAAAAGTTTATTTTAATTATTTTCAATCTTTATATTTTTTTATCAACCGGTTCTCTGCCCCAAATTACTCTTTTCTTCTAAAAGTTAGCGAAAACATAGACCAGGTAATCCTAATCCCTAGGTATTTTTAGATTATATTTTATGTCAAATTTGGTATGTGTAATCCTAATCCTTAGAAGTGTTATGTTAATTTTATATGAATTTTGATAGGATAATTATGATCCTAAATATATCATAGGGCTATCTTATATGAAATATATTGCATGTAATCCTAATCCCAGATAATTGTGTTGACCTGTATATATAATTACGTTCCTTATAAATTCGATTTTGTTAATAATTACTATCTGCTAAATGTTTTCTCAATTTGCTTCTGCCGAACTCGGAACTGCATGTATACACCTAGCTGCAAATTTCTTTCGGTTTCTGTGCAATTCTTTAAATTGAATTCAAATTGTCGTTGCTTTTATATATGTAAACATTGTTCACAAAACAAAACTCTCCTTCTCGATTTTTGTGCGTCACTTTCCATTAAATTAGATGCCTGATTGGTTTCTTTCAATTTGCAAATTAATATGACCTTCACTTTTGCTTATACGCATATATTTGCAATGATATTTTTCTCGGTTTACGTGATCAACCTATTTCAAATACATGCTTTCAGTATATGTTGTTAGTTACAATTGTTTCTTTTGAATCCTGTGCTTTATTTTATAAATTGAGGCACTAAAATATATATATGTTTTGATAAATTAGAAATTAATTGTTAGTTGCAGAAAATAGATATTACATATATTTGAAATAAATTGAGGAATTTTGTTATGTTTGTATAAAAAAAAATTAATAGTGGGAGGATAGCTTTGGGATGGTACCTCCCAAAGTGATGAACACAACTTTTGGGCTTTATGCCTCCGATGTGAAACTGATGTGAAAATGATTATATCCGTTCTTCCCAAAGTAGTGTCTGGCAGGGTTCCCCGGGATACTAGTAGCAACTTTGGGAAGAGGTGTGCACACTAGGAAGATGTGAATTGATTATGGCCAAAGTGATTTGTTTGTGACTGGCAGGGTTTCCCGGGTCACAGGGTAGACTGGCAGGGTTCCCCGGGTCTACCATGGTTCTCTTCCCACTAAATAGACTAAATGGATTAAATAAATATTAATATAATTAATAACAAGTTGACATTTGATTCGAATTTTTGAGTTATATTATTTTATTGGATTATCATGAGTTACATTCTTTTTGTTTATTTATTTATTTATTTTTGTATATCGGATTTGGATTACCAGCTTTGCTGACTTTTGTGTTTGTTTAACTGCAATGATCCTTCACGGGGGAGCAGATTTTCAGTGAAGCATGTTGCAAAGGATGGGGCTAGTTGTGGGCAGCGAGGATCACGACTCGGATATTATATTTCTAGCTAGTTTCTAAGTTTAGAAATTTTATGAGATTTAAATAAATGTATAAGACATATTTCCTGTATTTAAACTTTAGTCTTTGGTTTTATTTTTAATGTAATAAATTTAGCCTTGCACCTGTCCATAGTACAAGTGCGGCGGTAACACTTTCCAAATTTGATTATTTTGAACTTCCGCTGTTATTTACAAAAATTATTGAAATTATTTATGCTATTATAAATTGTTAGAATTTGGGGTGTTACAAAATGGTATCAGAGCCCTGAGTTTAACTTGGGTTCACTTTTGATACTAACTCAAGGGATCAAAGATCCCACAGTTAAATAAATAAATAAGAACATAAATAATAAAATAAATTGAAATAAAAAAAAATTAAACGTGAGAGATGGGTAGTGAAGGGTTATTTTCTTGTCCTTTAAATAAGATTTATTTGAAATTCTAATAATTGCATGTTTGAAATTATTTTGTGACTTGTTATGTGATTTATTGACTAGTAAATTTTATTTTAGCAAATGAATAGAATTTTCTATAGGCTAAAAGGGTTTCTTCTAGATGTAATTTTTTTTTTCTTTCTTTGAGTAATGATGAATAATGAAATTCTTATTATTTATTTATTTAAATAAATTGGTTTATTGTTTGAATTTAAATTGCATTATCTGATACATAATACAAATATATGAGATGAGGAAAGTGATAGTTAGAGTTGACTATGAGAACAAATTCAAAAACTTAGAATTTTTAAAAAAAAACATACGATCAGGTATTATACCCGTCGTAACACTAGAATGGCTACAAACAACGCTGTTGCTGAAGAAATGGACCGACGTCTGAGGGCTATCGAAGATCTTGCATTAGCACTTGGACAACAAAACGCCCATCAGGCTAATGCCGAGAATACCATTTTTAAGAGAGTGGCATCTCATCATCCACCCACTTACAAAGGGACTATCGATCCAGTTGCTCTTGAAAATTGGATTCGCGACATGGAAAAGTTGTATGAAGTGACAAATTGTCCCGAGAACATGAAGATTAGCATTGGCTCATTTTATCTGAAAGAGGAGGCGGATAGTTGGTGGTCCACGGTGAAGACAGGCTACATAGCTGAAGAGGGATTTAACTGGGAGATTTTCAAGGAACGAGTCCGCAATAGATTCTACCCCGACGCAATTAAGTGGCAGAAACAAGAAGAGTTTGCAAGGTTCAGGATGGCAGGAAAGATGACAGTGCAGGAGTACACTGACAAGTTCATTGAGCTCTCGCGTTTTGCTTCAAATCTTATTCCTACGAGAGGGACATGGCACGTAAGTATGAAAAATGGCTGACATTCAAAATTCAGAAGTCCTTGGGAGGTATACCATCACAGACCTTCCAGGAAGCTTATGAACGAGCTTTGAACATTTTTGACATCTTACAAACTGAAGAGGAAGTCATGGAGAGGAACAAGAGAAAGCAATTTGGCAGTGGTCCTCAGCAAGTTAGTGGTGATAAGAAGCTTCGTTTTGATGACAGGGGCAATAATTGGAGTGACAAACAACCACATGGACAGAGGTATGCTGACAGAGGTAATTATGGCGAGAATCAACTCAAGATCCAAGTTCAAGGAACAAAACCATACTCTTGTAAAGGATGCGGCAAGCAGGCACACCCTGGGAAGAGGTGCAATGGAGAACTTATAACTTGTTTTCAGTGTGGTGGCAAGGGGCACAAGGCTCACCAGTGTACTGCCAGGGGATTCAATCAGCAATCAGGCTCTCAAGGAGGACAACCAAAACCAGATGGAGGACGAAATGGGAACAACAACCAAGGGGGTAGGAACAATGACAATCAGCCCCGCTACCAGCAGAACTTTCAAAATGGAAATGGAGGAAATCGGCAACATGCCACTATTGGAAATCCCAACAATGGAGCTGGAGCAGATCGAGCAACAGGTCAGAATGCTGCTATTAATCAAACCATAGGGAGTCAAGGAAGGATCTATGTCATGAATCACACTGAGGCTGCGGCAAACCCAGATGTTATTACAGGTACTTTCTTACTGCAGTCTGTACCTGCTTATATATTGTTTGACACTGGTGCATCGTTCTCCTTTATTTCATCCTCTTTTGTGGAGAAAACGAGAATGGTACCATCTTCTACCTTCTCAACCAATATTACTTTACCCTCTCGAGCTGTTGTCTCTTGCTCCAATGTTTATGAAAATATTCCGATTAGTATAGCTGGTTCTGAGCTACCAGCTGATCTAGTCCAGTTTGACTTGGCGGATTTCGATGTTATTTTGGGAATGGATTGGCTTAGCAAGTATAGGGCTAAGCTAGATTGTAGGGAGCAAAAGATATCTTTTAAGGGACCAAAGGGGAAGTACCTCTCTTATAAATGTGTTGTACCCAAACCTTCCATTCAAATAGTCTCTGCTATGACTATTAAGAGTTTACTTATAAAGGGACACCCAGTTTATTTGTGCAACGTACGCGACTTAACTCTCGAGGAGAAGATTGAACAAATACCCGTGGTCAAAGAGTATGCAGATGTTTTTCCCGAAGAGATTCCTGGTATGCCACCTATTAGAGAAGTAGAGTTTGCTGTCGATCTTATGCCCGGTACTGCTCCGATATCAAAAGTGCCATATAGGATGGCTCCGGCAGAATTGAAGGAGTTAAAAACCCAACTTGAAGAACTGTTAAACAAGGGGTACATAAGGCCGAGTGTTTCGCCGTGGGGAGCTCCAGTTTTGTTTGTGCGAAAGAAAGATGGGAGTATGAGGTTGTGTATTGATTATAGGGATCTGAACATGGTGACCATAAAGAACAAATACCCATTGCCAAGGATTGAAGACTTGTTTGATCAATTGAAAGGAGCAGGTATGTTCTCAAAGATAGATTTGAGGACTGGATATCATCAAGTACGAATCAAGGAAGACGACATCCCAAAGACGGCCTATCGTACCAGATATGGGCACTATGAGTTTACGGTCATGCCTTTTGGCTTAACGAATGCTCCGGCAGCTTTTATGGATCAGATGAATAGAACCTTCAAGCAATACTTAGATCAATTCGTGGTGGTCTTCATAGATGATATTTTGGTGTATTCCATGACGAGGGAAGAACATGAGCAACATCTGAGGATTGTATTGGATATTCTAAGAGAGAATAAATGGTATGCAAAACTCTCAAAATGTGAGTTTTGGCTGGAGAAGGTTGCCTTTTTGGGTCATGTAATATCTCAAGAAGGAGTTTCTGTTGATCCAGCGAAGATTAAAGCTATCACTGAATGGCCTAGGCCTACAAATATTGCGGAAGTCAGGAGTTTCTCGGTTTGGCAG